TCAAAGATGGAATCAAGGCTGTAGATAGCCTCACTCCGAGCGTCAAGCATGCCTGCAGACGCAAAGTTGCGAAGGCGGGCGATCAGCATGGAATGATTTAGTCCCGGCTGATTTGGCCGAGTTGCGTTGTCATGTGACGAGCGGGAGGGGATGTTGCGGTGGATGAGAACGAGGTGGAATGCAATGCAAGTGCTAGGCAATCCACAGGACTACGACCAAAAGACAGACCTCTATATCGCCACATTGCTTAATGGCTTCAAAAACGCATCAGGTGCCGCCTGAGTATGATAGGCTCTCGGCAAGCTGTAAGGTTGGCTGCCGCAGTGACCAACAAGCTGATGCGGGTAGGTGGAATGAAAGGAAAATGGGTCTCAGCGACAAAGCCCCAATGCTACCAACTTAGTGGTTGGGAATAGCATCATCAACAGAATGCGTCAGCTTTGAGGTTGGACATTCGCGAGAAGCTTCCCGGCCGGAGGATGTCTTAGTTTGCGCGGTCACTTCTGTCCTAGTCTGCACCATGGGACCCACCTGTCACCAGATGAGCATCATAAATACACGATGATTCGATTATGAGGACGCCTTAGAAGAACGATGTAATATTTTAAGGCTTCTACTATGGTGCTCAGCAGGAGACGCTGGGTTGCAGTTTGGTGTTGAGAGAAAGTTTAGTAAGGCAAGGTAGGCCAGGATATCCCACGGTAGCTCCTCGGGTGGGGTATGGGCGACGTGGATTCTCCAACGTCTTCGAGGACAAAAGGACTCATGAAGCACAATCCACAAGATGTTGCAACGCCAGGCACATATTCAAGCAGCAAGCGGTAGGGAGCATGGGCAGGCAAAGGGCTTCTTGAAGGAGGAGGAGGAGGCGGCTCACCGGGTGCAAGGTCATGCTATGCGTCTCTGATATATGAGAAGGGGAATATGCGAGGAGGAATGAAAGCCGTAGGTATTCTAGATTTAATGACTCGGGCCTATCAGAGAACCAGACCGAAAGGAGATGCGGCTCAAACGTGACTTAAGTAGTCCCGCGAGTGGGCGGTCGAAACTTCCTCTCGCAACTACACCAGCGCGCATACCACCACCTCCACCTACTACGATACCCACCCCCATCCAACTTCAACAACAACAACACCACCCGCACACACTACAGCCATTAACGCGAGGAGGAAAAATCGCCAAGATGGCTGACGACGATTCTTCGGATTTGTCTTCGCTGTCTTCGTTGTCGCCAGTTCCTTCCGACGTCGAATCCGAAGCTGAGCCTGAACCTGCGACCAAGGGTGACATTCGAAAGTTCTTCCCTAAGCTTGCCAAAGGCAAAAAAGCCACCGTCGCGACCAAAGAGCCCTCGCCGCCGCCTCGCAAGCGATCGCCATCGCCGCCACACGAGAATGCCTTCATTGACAATCCAGACATTGCTGTATGCACCCTGTCGCGTCGTTTCGCGCAAAAAAACGCGTAGAACAGCGCGCCCCACGTCATAAGACAAGCTAACACCCACCTCCAGTTTCTGGTTATGTTTCGCAGCCGATTCAACGATGCGTTCCCGAAATCCTTGGTCAACTTTGGCCCGCAAGAGCTTGAACAAGACATTATTGGCAGCCCTCCTGGCGAAAGAGTCGAAGCTTTCCTGTGCGCTCTACTTTTCCTGCTCTTGAACCGAAAGCAGGACGTCAAGTACGTGGACGCGACAGCAAACAATATGGTCTTTTTGGTTTGCTAATTGGCGTGATAGGGCCGGCCAATATTCCAAAGCTCTGGACGACGCTCTTGCCGCCCACAAGTCCCAATGGCCGCGATCGTGGGAAGGTGTCAACCCACTGTCGGGTAGCAACACCTTTCACAGCATCACACCCACCCAGAGAGTAAGCACTGAAGTGCGCGTTACTTGCCTGTGCACCAGTTCACTAACCAATTGGCACAGCTGTCTCTCCTTCGCGCATTCGCCTTGTGGTCTCTTTCAGCATCCGAAACTGTCAAGACCATCATCAACAAATCCTACAAAGGAAACCGTCACGATGACGATTTGAACCAGCCGCTCTCAGTCCAACCCTGGGGTTCAGACAGTGACAAGAGACGGTACTTTTTGATCGAGGGCTTGGACGATACTGCTTTCCGCGTCTATCGGGAGAGTAATCCTGCCGGTTTCAACCGCACTTGGTGGTCAGTAGCTGGATCAATCGATGAGCTCAGGGCCCTTTGCGAGAAATTGGAGACCAAGGATGGCGGCCCCAAGGCGAGGAAGCTTGCAGATAAGATGCTGGCGGCTATTCCTCGCTTTGAGGGTACCGAGGAGGTAAGCATCCCTCATCGAACTCCAGTCCAGTGTGACAGGGTATTGTTCTGGGCAATGATTAATGGAAGCAGAAACGACGTCGCAGAGAGTATCGACAGGCTCAGAAAGCCCGCTTCAAACGTCCTGAGCCTGGCTTCTCTTCCTACGAGGGTCGTACGAGAGGCAAGCGAATCAAGTACACCTACTCCGATGACGAAGACTTCCTTACAGACTCGTCCAATCGACGCTCGGCGCGCAACACTGGAACGAGCACCCCTGCGGAACCAACCGGCCCAGTAACCACCGCCAGCGGACGTCAGATCAGAGCCCCGCCACGAATGAACGGAAGCAGTGCAGCAGGTAGTGTCAACGGAGACTCAGAGGATTCCCGTCAACCCTCAGAACCGACGTCCGGTCCTGGAGGACGGCCACGCAGAGCTGCAGCGGTTAACCATGGAACCAACGGATGGTCATCCAAGGGCACGCGGACTCATGGACGTGACTCTATGGATGAAGACGATGATGACGGAAGCGAACCTGATTTGGGTGACGACGAAGAAGAGGACCATGTCCCAGATGAGAGCGAGGAAGACGATGACGAATTAGACGAAGACGTGGACATGGCAGATGAAGACTTGGCCGATGAACCTCGAAAGAGCTTGATCGTAAAGCTCTCGGTCAAGAAGTCCCCAACCACGACGAAAACAGCCATGATGACTCCCGCCCCAGAGGATGAGAAAGCCCCCACGAGAGTCGACGAAATGGTTGATGAGATTGTCGCCAAACCCAGAGACAAGACCCCAGAACCTGTCATCAACGTTGCGACTACAAAACCGCCCTTGAGCCCGGCCGCTGTGCAGACCTCCTTGGCCTTTAGAGGAAGCCCGGACAAGCTGCAGACCATGCTGCAACAAGTGGATGTTGGTGTGCGCGAGTAGGGCTCATTGGGAACTGGCTACCACAAGTCCTTTGGCGTTTGGCGGTAAAACTTGGCAGGCGGAGTACGGATAGGGATAGATGATGGGAACCATCAGGATGATTGAACAATTATTTGTAGGAGCATTCGCTCATTCATAGACGGTACTACGGCTAGTACTCTCGGGGGATACGCGCATCACGAGATGCAGCGGTACTGAAAAGTACCTGGCTTGCAGAGACACTCTGCTTCGATTTTAGATGTACAGATACCACACCAATCATGTTTCCTGACCCTTTCATGCTGTGTGTTCCAGTCCCTCACAGCTCCTTCTTTGTAAATGCCGTCCTCCAGTTTGAGCTCTTTTGCGGGGGCAGCTGCCAGTTATTCACGCCATACCACCACCTCCGGACCCTCGCACCTATCGAACTGCCGTGGACCTGAGCATTCTTGTTCCAGTGGTGCCAGCCGATGAGGAACAAGTTGTAAACGACGCCTTGTATCAGGGGTATCATCACCTACATCAGATCAGTACTGAATCACCCCGCCGCCCGCTGCACCCGAGCAACCTACCTGATCCCTTGCGGTGATCCACGCCACCCGCCCCCAGGTATCGGCCTTGGAAATGCTGTTGAGGTAACTCTGCTCGAAACGCAGGTCGGGCATGGGTGGAAGCTTTGCTGTACGCGGCTTCGGGTTCACCACACTGCGTGGAATGTAGTCGTCGAGCTCATCATCGTCGAGATCGTCCTGAGTCGGGACGGGTTCTAATGTCACTGGCTCCTTTTCGGAGGCTGCTGTGGAGGGATTGAGGTCGTGGCTCGGGGAGGGTGCCCGGTTGATGTGGGCTGTCTGTATCGTCTCTGCGATTTGGATGGGTACGGAGGAAGCCATGTTGCGAGTCTGGCGCTGTGTAAGTATGACGAACAGGAGCTACAGCAGGTAGTGGCTTGAGCTGCGACTTCGGGAAGCTCTCGCGGGGACGGGTATGGGCGCGTTAGGAGGTTGCGATAAAGTTAGCTCGTTAGTTGCATGGTCATTGGTCATTCATTAATCCAGCACACGGGATGATCCTATGCACCCTTACTTGCATGGCGGATCCACCGCTGAGGTCATCGGCCGTTCCGCCCAAAGAAAGCGATATCCGGACGGCACACAGAAATTCAGTGGCCCAACTTTTAGCGGCACAAGATCGAGTGGGGTTGAATGGGCAACTAATACAGCACATTGGCTTTGTCTCACAACCTGCCTTACATTGTGCCTTTTTAAACGGGCTGCAGCCTGCCTACCTTATCCTGCAAGACATCGCCGAATAATATTACATAGATATCTGAGGGTGTCTATCTCAGTGACTCACTCGATAGTCATTGCGATAGTCAGAGTCCAGTGTAATGAGTGTCTGAAGTGCCTAAATTCCAAAGACATACGGCGTTGAAGATGAACCATGGGGCGGGCGGCTCCAGCAAAACATGGTGGTACGTGTGAAAGCTGGGAGATGAGTGGCTAGAATTTAGAGTGGCCAGGCTGTAGGCACCCTATGACTCGCTTGCGGTTTAGCGCCCTACCCGGTTTTGGGCGTACACCCAGCCAGAGCCGGATCCTGGTGCGCTCCACGGTGACAGCACAAAAAATCGACCTACCTACGTGGAGCACCAACTTTTCTTTCCTTGCAACTACCCGACCGCATCGCAACGCATCGTTCCCGCCCGGAGAACCGCGCGACGTCGACGACAAATCCCTCACCGTCACGCGAACGCGTTCCCTCATTTTGTCGTTCCTCGAGTCCCTTAATTACCCTCATTCAAGATGTCGGACCCCCAGGCGAACGAGGCCGAGAAGAACGTGAGTTTTTTCCCGTATTCCTACATCGTGGCCTCGGAGCCCCTCCTTTTTTGCCCCGCGCTCCGAGCATGCAGGCTGACGATTCCCTTTATGGGGTGCAACACAGATCGAGATATGGAAGGTCAAGAAGCTGATCAAGCGCCTCGAGGCCGCTCGTGGTAACGGCACTTCCATGATCTCGCTCATCATTCGTACGTTTTTTTTTTCCCGACCGCCATGCCGTCGCCGATGCCGGGTTCGACTAACACCCCACCACAGCTCCCAAGGATCAGATTTCCCGAGCCGCCAAGATGTTGGCTGAAGAATACGTACGTTACGACTGCGACAATCGCACACCATTCAAGCCGGACCGGTATTAATGAGACTTTATACAGGGAACTGCGTCAAACATCAAGTCCAGAGTCAACAGACAGTCCGTGCTTTCAGCCATTACCTCGACCCAGCAGCGTCTCAAGCTGTACAATAAGGTCCCTCCCAACGGCTTGGTTGTCTACTGTGGTGAAATCTTGACCCAGGAAGGCAAGGAGAGAAAGGTCAACATTGACTTTGAGCCTTTCAAGCCCATCAACACCTCCCTTTACCTCTGTGACAACAAGTTCCACACAGAGGCTTTGGCCGAGCTTCTCGAGTCGGATCAGAAGTTTGGTTTCATCATTATGGACGGTAACGGAGCCCTTTTCGGAACCCTTTCCGGAAACACCAGAGAAGTTGTTCACAAGTTCTCTGTCGATCTTCCCAAGAAGCACGGTCGTGGTGGTCAATCCGCTCTTCGTTTCGCCCGTCTTCGTGAGGAGAAGCGTCACAACTATGTCCGCAAGGTTGCCGAGTTGGCCGTCCAGAACTTCATTACCAATGACAAGCCCAACGTCGCTGGTCTGATTTTGGCTGGTTCTGCCGATTTCAAGACTGATCTCAACGCCTCCGACCTGTTCGATAACCGTCTGGCCACCAAGGTCATCAAGGTTGTTGACGTTTCCTATGGTGGTGAGAACGGTTTCAACCAGGCTATCGAGCTTTCTTCCGAGACCCTCGGCAACGTCAAGTTCATCCAGGAGAAGAAGCTCATCGGAAAGTACTTCGAGGAGATCAGCCAGGACACCGGTCGTGTCTGCTACGGTATTGAGGATACCCTCAAGGCTCTGGAGTTGGGCGCTGTGGAGGTTCTGATCGTCTTCGAGAACTTGGAGATCACCCGCTGGAAGCTCAAGGACAGCCAGGGCACCGAGCACCTGCTGCACACTACAAAGCAGCAGGAAACCGGTGACCGTGCTATTTTCATGGACAAGGAGACTGGCCAGGAGATGGAAGTCGTTACCCAAGAATCCTTCCTTGAGTGGATTGCAGAGCACTACAAGGACTTCGGTACCAACCTCGAGTTTGTCTCTGACCGTTCCACCGAGGGCAACCAGTTCGTCAAGGGCTTTGGTGGTATCGGTGGCATTCTCCGCTACAAGGTGAACTTCGAGCAGTTGGCTGAGGTTGATGACGACGATGACTACTACGACGGTTTGTGACCTTCCAGTACCCTATCTGCCAACTACAAGAAACTGACCATCCTAGATTGACCAACCGAGGCCCTCGAGAACGAGGGATCGACTCAAGTACCGTCTCTGAAGCATGACAGCGAAGAGGAATCCGCGCGCACAGCGTCGCAGCCCGCGCCCGCGCCCAAGCCGAACGTCGCCCATCAGCTCCTTGCAGACAGGAGCCCGATGAGCCCGGCTCACCTCACCCACCAAGTGGCGCGCCCGAGCCCGCTTCGGTCTGTTATGAAGGCCTCTTGAGTTGAGACCTAGTCTACATGTGAGACCATCCTTTCAGCCACTGCTGGAGCTGTGCAACTAACATGGGCACCAGATGATCCTCTCACAGACAGAGGACACTCAAGAGCGGTCGGGAGGCGACCGCTTGTTGATCGCGACTAGATAGAATGAAAATGAAATTAAATGCCTACTCAGTCCTCTCAGGCTCGCTCGAGCCTGTTCATTAAGCGTGAATGATGTTTCTGTGCCACAAGGACTACCGTGTTTGTGTGACTTGCCACCTCAGCCCTTACACCTAGATGGGTAACCCATGAGAGCAGCCCTTGTCCTCATTAAACAATGACTTTCCTAGTGTACATTCCCAGTTCGTCTCCCCCTTAAGGCACAGTCAACTTGGGGCCGCACTCTCACACAGGCATCTTTATCCGATATGCGACTATGACCTATCAACTGGTTATATGCATATTCATGACCTCCAACTCAGTCTCATAACATCCCACTCACTGAGGCGTGTAAGTCGCCAATGCCAACTTCAACATGAGGCCTCTGCTCCTCAACACCCTTCGTCGGGGATTTGCAACTCAGAATGCATCCTCATCGATAGAGGCAGGAATCGCCAAAATCCTGCACACCAGCAAGGAGATCCCAGACCACCTCTCCCCGACGCCCTCCCATCTCCTTAACCTCCTGTTCGCTGACATCTTCACCTCGTCCGCCGACTATCCACCAAAGTACCCACCATCCTCCGGACCTGCGAGTCCGTTGCCGCAAGGCCACCACCTGGCCTATTTCCCCCTCCAATCGCCGCCCTCATGGCTGATGCCGGACGGCACTGACCCAGACCATTGCCCCGGGGCGCCCTTTACGCGCCGGCTCTGGGCGGGCGGCGAGGTCCGGTTCCGAGAGGGCTGGGAGGATGTGCTTCGTCTGGATGGGCGCCGGGTCGGCTGCGTCGAGAGCGTGGAGGATGTGAGGGCCGAGAAGGGCCGGGTGTGGGTCGAGTTGTGGCGGCGGTATGGGGCATCTTCTGCTGCTGGTCGTGGTGAGAGCGGACCGGCGGTTGAGGAGAGGAGGACGTTGGCTTTCCTTCCTGATGTTGATGTTTCTGCTCCGGCCCGGCGGAGTTTGAAAGGTGAGCGGCGGTCAGCAGCAAATTCAGTCTTCATTCCAAGCCGTGGAAGAGAGTTTGGAGAACGAGAAAAGTACTGACGTTTGAGACTGGATTAGCGCCGCATAAGCCGACAGCGTCTCTCACTCTGACGCCGACACAGAACCTCCTCACCAATTTCAGCGCGCTGACGTACAACGCGCACGCGATCCATCTGGACCCGGCGTGGGCTGCGCAAGAGGGCCATCCCGCGACGCTGGTTCACGGGCCTCTGTCGCTGGCTCTGGTGCTCGCGTTCTTGAACAGGCAGGGCAAAGGGCAGAGCGTGCGCTGGTACGGGTACCGGAACCTGGCGCCGCTGTACTGCGGTCGGGAGATGAAGCTTTGCCTGCGAGAGAAGGAGGCGAGTGAAGGGGAGAGGAAGTGGGATGTTTGGATTGAGGGTGATGATGGAGGGATGGCGGTCAAGGGGACTGCTACGACCGTCGATGGCGTGTGATGTTGAGCATCGGCGTGGACTTATGCTGAAGCATTTCAAGCGATGGCGCGTGTAGATGATTACTTGTAAGAAAGTAACTAAGAGTACATTATTGAATGAAAATCACCCCTTGCTATCCTCCACGTGCCTAATTATATCATTAAGTCAGATACATTATACACCACAAGCCTGGAATACCGTGGACAGAACTTCTGTGTGCCTCTACATCTATCACTCGAGCTCAACAGGGGTATCATTAACGTTGATAGTGCGTCTCGGCGACGGAGAAGACGCCAGAAGCGCCTCACTGAGAACGGATGGCGGGGCTGCGGACACTGACTGATACTTATGTCGCTCCTCAGCCCCGGGATAGAGAGGCAGGTGGTTCTCAGGGACAGATACCTCCGGCAGAGTTGAGAATTGAGCGCTCTGTGTCGGATCCTGCGACGGAGACAAGGCATCCTGGGCTCTCGACGCTCGCTTCTCCCGTATGAGAAGCCATGCAACCACACAGACTCCAATGACCACCGCTACTAAGCCTCCAACGGCACCGCCTACGATTGTAGGTATGTTGGACGAAGAACTCGCTGGCGATGGTGAAGCTGGCGCGGAGGCGGAGGCCGATGTGGAAGACATCAGAGTGATTGTGGAATCAGCCGAAGCCAGCGCTGTTTGGGCGCCGCGAAGGAAGTTGTCCTCGATCGACGCCGGGACGAAGTCTAAGCTCGTTCGACCGCTGTGTGCTTTCCACTGGCAATCGAGGAGCGATACCCAGTTATCCCTGTCGATTTCTTTGTAATATGTCACGCAGGTTGGGAGCCATTGATCATCCGAACTCGTGCTAGAAAGGTAGATATCAGCCATTGTCTCTTGAAATAAGACATAATGTGACCGTACCAACAGCGGGTATTGAGATCAACCTTGGATCTACACTCAGTAGCTGTGCCATCGTAGCATGTACGTCCAACGATATTATCGCACTTCATATAGCCATTGTCTGTTTGGCACGGTTGCGGATATTCGCATGCTAGAGGGAATGTAGCTGTTTGATTTATGTCAGTATTCGACTTCTTATGCTGGCTGACTTCTAGAGGGGCGTTTGAAGACTTACTCCAAGGAAGTGTTACGATCCCGCATGTATTGATGCGCAGTACTCGAGGTTCCAATGCCTCTGCCCGTAGATTGAGGTTGTTTCTAGGTGTCAAAGTTGTTGTTGGGGCTGCCCTATACTTGTCGTAGTTCGGTGCCAGTGTTGGACGTGGTATGGAATTTCCATTCAAGTGTTGAGGCTCCGCGAGTACCAGGCGTAGCCAGATAGCCGCAGCAATGGCTACGAGGAAGGAAGAGTTCATCACTACTCCGAGATAGATACAAGGCAGTCTGGCAAGGTTATGAGAAGAGTGGTGGAAGTGGTACACTCCATTGACGGGAATGTGGTGGTCTTAAAAAGTTGAAGTCACCAGGAAACAGAGAAACCAGCTTGGACCCCTATTCTTGTTCTGAGTCGTCTATTTGGAGGACTGTGCAAAGATCTGGAAGCAAGTTTCCGTATTGTGTAACCTTCAAAGTGAGGCAGGTTCTCTAAGATTGTGTGAGACGTGGTTCGCCCGTCAACACCAGCGGCCTATGTTTGAAGCATGTGTGTTGGCGAAGTAGTCCCAAATACGAGAAACTGCCAGCGCCAACGTGGGCAGCCGGGAGCGAAGGACCCTGGCCACTTTTGCATATAATTGAGCTCAAGTGCATCTACTAGGTTTATATCAAGCCGGTGAAGGGAATCGCAAAGGATGAGGGCTCATATGAATGGGGATTATGTTACTAGATCCATTCTTGGCAGAATTCGCCATGAGAATTCATAAGAGATAAAGACAACTTAAGATAAGAACATACCGGCATGCTCTGAAGCTCCCTCAGGATTGTATTTCGGCTTGATCCAGCAATCTCCCAATGTATTTGATTGGTAAGCATAATATATGATGAAAGAAATCAACCCACTGATCAACTCCTTACGCCACCGCTCTATGTTTAAGAATAATCCCATGCCCCCCAAAGCGTAGACACATGAACACCTAGTTCATTTTCGGGGGATTCAAGTTCCTAGCTCCACCGGTCTTCGGTTGTCGATCACGTTGCTTCCCTGCACCTCAACAAGAGGTGTGGGCGAGGTCATCGGCCCGCGTTGCGCCTTGGAAGGGTCATCATGCTCCTCATACCCAGCTTGAGAGTAATATGGCTGAGTGTGCTGCAATTGAGAGCCTGGCGTCAAAGGAATATGCCACCCGTCCTCCCTCGAGCGTTTCCTCCGCCGCAATACCAACCAGACGATGACGCAGACGGCTATGGCTACCACGGCCACCCCACCGACCACGCCTCCGACGATGGCACCTGTCGAGTTCGAGGATGATCCGGACGGAGGTGGCGTGGTTGTTGCAGTGTCCGAAGGGTCTACAGTCCTGGTCGCGTCTGGGTCGTCGGACTCGGTACCTATTACCATGATTTTTTGTCCACTGTAGGCAGGATCGCCGCATCGGAGCCATGTTTTTTGTCCTGAGTCGTCAGGCCTCAGGAGTGTCAGGCAATACGGTAACTGGCTCGGACCTGATCGAGTGCTTGGATATCAGTTAGCACTTGAACTTATCGAACTCCGGAGGCACGAATGAGACCAGTGGCTCCGGTATGTCTAGTTTCGGGACGTGTTCAATGAAAAAGATCACGAAAAGACATACCAGCAAAGCGCTTTCTGGCCTAGAGATGACGTTGTCTGCTGGCAAACAGGCGCGTTCCCATCAAAACATTCTGTCTTGAGGACGTTGCGACATCCGAACCATGGTCCCGAGCTGTAGCAATCGTTGCTGACGCAAGAGAATGTCTCGAAAGCTGACAGCAAGGAATATATCGTCAGCCAGCTCTGTGAATCGCAGGAGCCATGGGTCAAGACTTACTTCCATTATCAAGGCGACGAACTCCACAGGCATTGGGGGGTAGACTTCTGGCTTCGAGCATCAATTGCCTCGACTCCTCGCTAGGAGCTGTCGTTGGTGCCGGGGAAAGTCCAGCGCCGTGCTCTGGGAAACCCATCGCGAGCGTTTCTTGGGGAGGTCGCCCTTCGAGGCTCATGGCGAAGGTGAGTGGCAAGAAACCCGCCAACGTGATTAGTGAATAAGGAAGCAACATGGTTAAGTCCACCGAGACTCTCCTCAAATCCTTGATTGAGCCAGGAATCAGTGTCCGATGTAAAACTTCGCATCTGATTCTCGAGGAATGACGACGAGAAAGGGAGCGAAGGGCCTGTGCAGTTCTAGCGGAGACCCCATTTTCTCTATGTGTCTCAAGGGATCTGACACACGCGGGCCTAGGTTGAGTGAGAATTGATCGTCAACGGTTGATTGGTGTTTCTGTCTCATACTCAGCCTCTTCCTAATTGACCAGCTTGAAAGTCGTCGTCCAATGAGTACGAGGCAGTGTCGATCCCATGGCGTCAATTGCCAGGGGTAATAGGGCAGATTCCCATCTTACTGCGTCTAGAACGTAGCATCTCATATAAGTCTGACCTGCTATCTGCAAGCTACTAGATCGGCCCTCCGCGGGCACTTGAGTGGTCATCTAAGCTCCTTCAGCCACATGAGTTTTGGCCACAACAAAAACAACCAATTATTAGTTTGATCAGAGCCGCTGAGACATTCGTCCCGACATGACGGGATCTCGAGTGGAGAGATCCCAGCCATGACATCTCGAAAGATACCCATATATCTAACATGGATTCTCACAAACTCAAGAGCTATCGCTCAGAAATAAAGACCGACTGGTTCGTGTACTGAAAGGGTTTAATCACCCGGGATTTCTTCCAATTTCCACATGTACTACAACAGGAAATCAAAGCTTAAGCTGCAGAAACCATTTATTATTGCTTGGATCTAATCAAGTCGGCCACGCTCTCGTCTTCTCAAGGTATTATTTAACCTTGAATAAAAGCTGTGGGCCTCTTCTTGCTACTTTCCATGTAGAAGTCCATGGTGAAAAGAGGAATCGAAATGCAAAGCCATTCCCGTCTGTCGTCCAAGCTCAAAACCATTGCCGAAAATCTCGCCCAAAAAAGCTACCTCGAAATCCCAGAAAGAAGAGAGATGTCTCTTCTCAGATGCATCTGAAGAACGGTAAGTAGCTGGCCAGTGGAGTAGTTGCTCAAGTTTAACTCACTATGCTGTTGCTTATTGCAGACTTACATCAAGGGCATCCGCAATCTCATCAGTAAGGCTGCCAATTACCCCATGGGGCTATACACCTGTAATGTCGTCTGCACCAGACGAGGTCCCAATAAACCCAGTATTCTAGGTAAGTGAGTTACTGTCGAGCTCTGTCAACGGCCCGTCTAAAGGCCCTCATCGTGACTCTCCATGACGATATCTTCAATCTCAGAAGAAGACTGAGCCATGTCGCCAGGATCGGAAAGAATATCGGTCTCAGCGTGTCCCTCCATATCAGAGTCGATAGTTTCATTCTTGCCAGGGCCCAGGGTCATCTTGGCCATGATCATCTCGTTGACTCCATTCTCGTCTTTGGCATCAATCTCAGGGGTTGCGCAAACCTCGTCGATGATGTCCTTCAAGACGACATTGCACGCGTCTTCGATCTGGATGTCGGACGGCAACTCGTCTCCAAAGAGCTCAGCATAGCGTCGAAGCATCTTCTTGTTGCTTCTGAGCGCCTTGTTGTAAAGTGCACCGACCATTCTGCAACCCACGGGTCTTCCACCAGTCTAAGGTTCATTGTTAGCAAGTGTTGATTAATATTTCGAGCCTCAATTTGATTGGTAGGATGATCTTACCGGAGGGGAGTAACTGAACGCAGTTTTCTCTTGGGTTCCAGCTCTGGCGACCCTGTCTGCCCAGCGAATCTTGGTCTTCAGCTCGAAGAACTTTCTGAATCTGTCGTACTCGTTCCGGAAGGATGAGCAACAGGGACTCGGGCGCTCAATGCCGCGCTCAATCCACTTGCCGTTGTCCTTCTTATGGAAAAGCTTTGCGCCAAACCAGTACAAGTGCGGCCTAGAGGAATGAGACCGGAAGAACTTGAGTTTTAAGCACCACATGTCAGCTAGGACTCGATTTCAAGTTTGTGATAGCCAGTCAGAAAGGATAAACGCTTGTGACTTACGTAGAGTTCGTACTTCTCGTGCAGAGTTCCATCCTCATTCTCAGACGATCGGAAGAGATCAACCTTGTACTCGAAGGAGGTCAGGTCTTTGGCGACACTGTACATTTCTGGATTGATACGTCAACGGTGTTCAAGCAATAGGATTGATGAATCTTCACTGACCAGGACGAATCCACCTGTAAGCAGACGCTGCAGCCCGGGCCCTTTCGATCTCCGCTTTGGCATCCTTCTTCTCTTTGATCTTCATGGCATCGTATTTGTATTCCCTCATTGCGAATTTCACGTTGTCGCGGCAAGAATTGGTGAACCAACTCCAGCTCACAATGTGAATTTTCTTCGCGCCCTTCGTCTTGCTTCTTCTCTCTGCTTCTTTGACTGAGAGATAACAAAAACAATTAGCTTCTGGGCAAGGAACAAAAGGAAAGGCATGAAACATGAAGGGGGAAAAATGTTCTATGAAGAGAAAGGTGACCTTACTTCGGTGGGGCTTGTTCTTGGACTTGAACTCCTCATCGGTGAATAGCAGATGGGTCGTCTTCTCGTCCAAATGACGTGAGAATTTGCCTTTGCGCATCTTAACCCACTGGACCATCTGCTCTCTGGAGCAACCACTAGGAAAGTCTCCAGCAGCGGTAATGACCATCTCATTGAAGATTGCTCGAACCATTGTGAAGGATGAACTTTGGTCGATGGTTGCAAGTGAAGCTTGAGAAGAATAATTCTCACTTGGTGACAACGGGATAAGAGAAGCAAAGTCTGTGATGCTGCTGACGAAGACGAGGCAAGAGCGACTTGGGATTTCAAGCGAGGTAAGAAGGGTGAAGAGCTGGATTAAGACTGGGTGGGAGAAAGGTAAAAGGGCGTTCTCAGTTGGTAAGAGCAAGAAGGGTCTCCAATGCTGACGATGAAAGTGTGAAGAGGTCAGTTTGAGACTGTGAGTGAGGTAGAATGGGTGAAGTGTTGGCGTAAAGAATGGGTATCAAGAGGCCGATCTAAGACTGTGAGCGAGGTAGAAAGGGTGTAGAAAGGGTGAAGGGGTGGAAGAGAGAATTGGTGGGAAAAGGGTGGCTGTTTTATACGGAGAGATTCGAGGAAGTAAAGGAATGAACCTGGGCAGTAGGGAAGGAAGGAGGGAGGATACAAATGGAGAAGCACTCGAAAGACTGGGAGGAAGGCGCGAGAGATGCGAAGTCTCACCATGCCTTCCGAATTATTCCAAGAAATCAATTTGATATGGCATCCAAAATACAAATCTGGAAATGCGACAAACATCGATCTCATGAGAACCTATGGCATCTTGAGTATCGTCGATATCCGCCCTTTTATCTAGCTGAAGGCAGAATATTGATCCAACAGAAGCGGATAGCGCAAACTGACAATCTATAATCACAAGTTCAACTTACTCACATATCTCAGAGCAGTCTTGGGTCATGCGAGGATGTGGAATCATGGACAGGACTATTCGCTAACATCAAGGTCTGGGCTTTGTGGCAGAGCTCAAGTCCAGATATTCAAATATCACAGTCTTCGATTGGATCGTTTGACAGAGTCTTAGGCACTTTCTCATTTCACGAACTCTCTATCTAAAGCCCTTCGCATTCTTGACAAACGTTCTAATCTTCTCCAAGCTCTGCTTGCCATCCTCCTCCACTCCGCTGCTCACATCAACACCTACGATACGGTCACCAAACTCCCCAACAGCCTTGACTGCCTCGAGCACGTTGTCGGGGTTGAGACCGCCAGCAAGAATGACTTGCAGCTCCTGATCCTTTGCCAAGATATCCTTGACACTGGAGACGTCAAGGAGCTTGCCTGAGCCAGCTCCCGAATCAAGCAGAGGAATGGTGTGGTAGCCTCGCTTCCCGATGCCAACGTTGCTCGGCTTGAAAGCCCGAATAACAGGTACGGGGATCAGGTTGGCCCACTCAACCGGCTCATTGCCGTGAAGCTGGACAATGTCCAGGTTGAAACGCTTCTGCTTCTCGAGAACCTCGTCTAGTGGCTGGTTCTGGAAGATACCTGCGAGGAGCGGACGCGAGCTCGATAGTCTGGCGACAGACGCAGTGTAGTAATCTGTAGCAGATTTCGTAGGGATGCTCGTTGTTGTACGTGTGGCGGTAGGTACGAAGGTGTGTACCGCTTCTGAGATGGCGGAAGCAGTCTCATCGGATATGCAACGCTTCGCACCTGGAACCAAGCAAATTCCGACAAAGTCCGCACCTGCCTTGACAGCCTCAAGGGCAGCCTCGGGAGTTCTTGTTCCGCAAATCTTGACAAAAAGGGGTTGGGTCTTGACCGGTTCAGGCTCAGCGTCTGTACCAGAACAGAGTTCTCTGATGAACTTGGTTGTGTCCGGCGCTCTGACAATGGCCTCCCCCACGAGAACAGCATTGACTCCATCGTTCTTGCAAAGAATGACATCCTGGTGACTGTTGATACCACTCAGGGCGCAGATGATGGTATTTTCTGGGACCATGCTTCTCAATCTACTTGTTGTGTTCATGTCGACCTCGAAGCTCTCCAAGTTGCGGTTGTTGACGCCAATTGCCTTGGATCCAAGTTTCAAGGCTGTCGTCATCTCCTCGGCTGTCTGAACCTCAACCAGCGGCTCCATTCCCAGGGAAAGAGAATACTTGTACAGCCTCTCCAGCAGTTCCGTCTCCAGCATCTTGACAATAAGCAAGACCGTATCGGCGCCCGCAAGTCTGGCCTCAAGAATCTGGTATTCCTCAAAGATGAACTCTTTGCGGAGGATCGCTGGTCTATTGGGCATACCGTCCAGAACTTGTCTAACAGCCCTCAGATCTTCGATGCTGCCCTTAAACCACTCAGGCTCAGTCAGCACGGATATGACGCTGGCACCTGCAAGGGCATATTTCTTCGCCTGAGTCGGGGCATTGATATTGATATCGAAAATGCCCTTTGAGGGCGAGGCTCGCTTGATCTCCGCCATGAGGGACACATCGAAGGGGGTCTGGCGAAGGCGCTCAATGAAGGAGACTTGAGGCGGAGCGGCATTGAGATCATACGCAGCTTGTAGATCTGCAGGTCTTTGCGAGGGAATAAGCTTCTGAGCTGCAACAGCAGCCTTTCGGTGGGCATAGATTTGCTGCAAGATGTTGTTCTTCTTGCTTGCAGCCGGCGCAGATGACGTCGTCTTGGCAGAGGCGCCGTTGGTCGCGGAGCCCTTCTGGAGCCGGCTGTTCTCTTCCCAAGTGCCACCTTGAAGTTGCAAAAAGTTTCGCAGCATAGTCCGGCCCTCTGCGGTGAGAATGCTCTCGGGATGGAACTGAACACCCTCAATGGTGTACTCCTTGTGTCGCACGCCTTGAATGATACCGGGGGATCCGTCCTCTGTCGCAACCCAAGAAGTGACCTCCAAACAATCCGGAAGTGTCACACGTGTACCGGCTAGAGAGTGATAACGGGTAACTGGAAGGCCTTGGCGCAGACCAGCATAGACACCCTTGGCGTCGTGTGTCAAAGGGGATGTCTTGCCGTGAAGCCACTCCCCTGCGGATCCGACCTCTCCACCATAGACGTCAAATATGCACTGCTGACCCATACAGACACCAAATATGGGAATCTTGCCAGAGAAGTGCTTGATTGCCTCTCGACTGACTCCGGAATCCGTGGTGGGGTGTCCAGGCCCAGGACTGATGATCAACTGAGTTGGCTTCTTGTCAATCAGCTCTGCCAGCGTGATCTTGTCATTTCTGAAGACCGTCACATTCGCGCCTTCGAGAATGAGGTATTGGTAGACATTCCAGGTGAAGGAATCATAGTTGTCGATCAAGATCAAGTTGGATGCCGTGGGAATTGGTGGCGAAGGGTCCGGATGCTGGGGTGAGTGATCGATGATATCTAAGGACGGCATTTTGCAAATTGTGCCGGGGCCGCCGAAAGTAAGTCAAATCAGCAGAGACTTGCTGAATCCAAATGCCTCTTGTCACGAAAAGTATCGCTTCGGTGGTAATGGCATTCGAGGTTTGAATGAGGTGAGTCAATGGGACGGGTTGAAATGAAGATAAAAAGGCGGCGACTCACTAAAGTTGATTGTAGCACAGTATATCGGAGAGCATACTTTTACTGTACTAATTGATGATCATTGCGACTGAGAATACAGTGCACAAGTACCTAAAGGCAAACTGCAATATACCCTGACAGGCCGCCCCGCCGCTATATCGCGACCCGGCGCCCGGGACTGCCTATTGTGGCATTGAGCCTAGAACGGGCGCTAAGACGAATCAGACTTAGCGCCAACTTCCGGAAAAACCATGGAACTTGAGCTCACTTTTTTTGGGAGCTCCAGTCAACCACCTGCAGAGAGGCTGCAAAAGCATTCGCGGGTCCAAGTGCGTACAAGCGCGTCCACTTACTTTCTTTGCATCTCAGGCAACATAGCTCATCGCAGCCTCGCCTGATGCAGTCTGGACCTTGACTGCTCTGCCCAATCGACCTCTGCGGCAATGGCGCAAGTGGCAGACCGTCAATACTTTCCTCCTCTGGAGGAATGCTTGAATGGAGACACCATCATTATGTGGGTAGACCTGCGTTTGTTGACTTGCTGATTGTCCGGAAAACTGATCCTTGAACTAGCTCCTGGAAGCTCATCGCAGCTGCACTGGCGGACAAAGATGACTCCAGGCGGAAGAGCGAAGCTGTTGTACAGTTTTTACAAGATGATTTCGTACGAGCACTCATAAAAGATCCGTCGACCGCCTTTGCGCCGCCGAGCGATCACACCAAGTCGAACTTCGAGACGAGGACCGCCGCTATACACGTCACTCCCAAACCGAACGACAACTTCGACATCAAAATAATCAAGGAGGATACGCAGTGGTTGAGCAAGAATGCCAAGGTCAATCTCGTTGCTGCGCTTCGCGCGACAGTCATCGAGTTCCAGTCGCGACCAGCTAGCCACCTAACAGGAACCCTCTCCTCCCAGGATATAATCAACCTCCAGGAAGCTTCTGGCGTCGCAAACGTACAATCGTCATCTTTCGTCCCTATCGCTGGTGCCTCCCAGGATGCGGAGACGATCTGGGCAGAATTCGAGAAAGAGGAGTCAAGGCGACAGCGAATTTTCCAGACATATCTTGCAGAGAGACGCCACTTTCTAATGACTGCTGCTTTGGTGCAGGAGAACGTGCTTTACACCCAACCTTCACCGCCAGCCTCTGCAGCTGATCTTCCGATCGCGACAACTCAGTTGATCGCCGCGAACGAGCGTCCCAAATACCTCGAAAATCTGCTCACGACCTACTTGCAGTATGTCACTGAGGCTATTGGTCGACTGGCCGAGGGGCTCGAAGCAGTTGTGGAAGATAAAAGCCTGCTGGGAGAAGAAATCGAGCTGGAATGGATGCGGACAGCACTCACTGAAGTTGTACACGCCTTGTCGGTCGTCTTTCAGTCAGTCGATGGCAGCGGCGACGATTTTGTACCATCCGCGGTGGTTGGCCATTGGTTTTCCTTGATGGATAACTATGGTTTTCTCAACGGGATTACCGCGGTGAGTTCACCAAGAATCAGACTTTTTTGGGAAGCCAGGACTAACAGCAGACAGCCGACTGATGCCATTGCCTCACTAATCATGCCCCTGAGATCTCTCATCTCAGCCATATCTATCAAGCTCCTGAACCCTACAAGATCTATCGAGTGTCT